TTTGATTAAAGAAAATGAGAAACTTGATAATTGTTCAACGTGATTTTTCTTAAACATTATCCTGCTGGGATATAAATTCTTAAGTCATATTGTGTTTTCTATTATTGTTGGTAATTTTCTTGTGATTGCAATCGTGATTTTGATCGAGGATTAGTCCTCATTGTAAGGAATTCTATTCATTATTAAGTTAGGACTCCTTGGAATAACTACCCTGTAGTTTCTTTCAATACTCAGATAAAGTACTCTCTTGAAATTGTGTGATGCAATTAACTTTAGTTGTGATTCCTAAGAAAACCTAGCTGTGATAGTGACTCCCATGGTTTTCTATATTTCTCTTTCTGTTCTAATTCTGCCCTTGAACCCTCTATTTATTGTTCAAGTGCAGTGTTAAGAGTCCTCTTTATTTCTCTTCAAATTTAAAGAAGCTAAATCCACCAAACCAACAATCTATCTTGCGTCACAAAAGGTGCCAGAGTGTTTGCGTAACAACATAGAAGATTACCTAAAGTTTGATTTCAAATGTCTTCAGGTCCAGAAGGTTCTACAGATCCTCTGAAGGAACGAGATCAAAATGCATTGGTTCTTCGTCCATGTTTGCAACCAAAGGGACCGTAAGTTATCTCTGTCAAATTTGTAATTCTTTTCTGGTTCCAGTTCCCATCTTTCTTAAGAAAAAGGGAGATATGAGTTTCAACTTCAACTGTAAAAGAATGCAATCTTGTATGTGGTTAGCTTCACATGTGAAAATTCATGGGTGGATGCATGTGGACAAAAAGAATAGACTAGACTTATCTTGGTGAGAACCTAAATTTGAAAAATGGGATGCTGCCAATCAGAGTTGAGGTGGATAATATTAAACAATAGTAAAATCCTGTGGCATGTAGGATCCCTATATATTCCACTTTCTTGCAAGCCATATGCAGGGAGTTCTGTCATTAAGATGGAGTTGTACTAACTGTCTCTCCTTTTCTGTTTTCCAGAATTGAAGTTGGTAACACAGGCAAAAGCACTTCAATTGTTTCTGCACCTGGGTTTTCTGAAAGGATTTAAATCTCTCCCACATCCCTTTTCTGTCGTCGTGATACTATGACAAAATTATGACATTTTCTTTCTATTGTAAGTTTTGCTTATTTACTCTGGTATGCTAAATTAATCTTCCTTATGTTAGCCTATTCCCCTTTGAGATAAATACCTTTCATCCAAATATTTTTTTTACTTAATGGTATTCAGGCATATCTATGGTTTTTCAAAATCTACATTATGCACTTATGCTTTGGCCTTGCTTTATCTTTTCACATACTTTATAATTGATTGAGAATTAGTGGAGCTTCCTAGTGCCATTCTGTTATGCCATGGTAATTATATCTGGAAACATAGAATTTTATCTTGAAATTTTGTGTTATCTATTACTTAACAGGCTAACAACCTCTGCAATAACTGAAAGAGTTCCAACCAAATAGTGACGTCCTGTATGGCATCCTCCATGGAAGAACTACAGGGTAAGAAGCTTGTACTTTAAAATAGGGTGGATGATAAAAGAATTGTTTGGGTATTTTCTAAGTGTGATAGTAACAAGTTCTGTTGATCTTTTCTTTTTCTTCTTCTTTTCTAAATGTCTTGGAGCTAATATAAGTAATATAGAATTTTCCTTTTTCAGTTTGATTATTGGAAAATACTTGGTTGCTTAAAATTAGTTATCAAACTTTTTATATCTACATCTTTCACATCCACCTAGCTGATTACCGTCCAGCTTCATTTTCAATTAGTAAGTCAAAGTAATGTTAGGTTTAGGCATGCATTACATGCATCAGAACCCTTTTTTTTTTTTTTTTTTTTCTTTCATCCT